AGCACCACGGCCCCCTCCCCTGCCCCGCCGGCCGGGGCGGCCGCGGGCGTGGCCGCGGCGGCCGGCGCGATGTCCTCGTCCACCTGGATGATCTCCACGGTGCGGGCGGCGGTGACGGTGCTGCGCTGCTGGTGGCGCTTGCGGAGCTTGTAGAAGACGATGAGCATGGCGGCGGCCAGCAGCGTCACGGCCACGAAGCAGCCGATGATGATCTTGGTGGTCTTCATCACCTCGTCCAGGCTGGTCTGCAGCTTGTCGCCGGCGTCGGCCGTGGGCACGGCCACCTGCTTGGGCGGGCGCGTGGTCTGCACCAGCACGGTGGTGGTGGTGGTGTAGGCCGGCTGGTAGCCCGTCGAGGTGGTGGGCACGGGCTTGGTGAACTTGGGGGACACGTCCTCGGGGGAGATCTCGGTGGTCTCCACCGTGACGGTGGTGAAGAAGCTGTAGTTGGAGGTGTTGAGCTCGGCCGTGCTGACGTTGAGGAAGGCCGAGGCGTTGGAGTTGCCGGCCACGTTGGTCACCATGCAGGTGTAGAGGCCGGTGTCGGTCAGCAGCACGTGCGAGAAGTTGAGGGTGCCGTCGTTGAGCACGGAGAGGCGCGGGTGGCTCGAGGCGTGGCTCAGCACCGTCCCGTTGGGCAGCAGCCACCGCACCGAGGACATGGAGGGCGTCCGGCAGCGCAGCTCGGCCACGCGCCCCTCCGAGATGTTGAGGTCCGCGGGCGCGTCCATGATGAAGGGCGCCGAGCACTGGAAGGAGGTCTGGTCCACCTCCACCAGGAAGCGGCCCCGCATGTGCAGCGGGGCGTGGCAGCGGCCGCAGCAGGTGGAGTTGGTGGGGATGTACTCCCGCAGCCACCACGACAGCCAGAGGATGTCGCAGTCGCAGTCCCAGGGGTTGTGGTGCAGGTGCAGCTCCACCAGGTAGCGCAGCGGGGCGAACAGGTCGTGGGGCAGGGACGACAGGTTGTTGTGGGCCAGGTTGAGCTCCACCAGCGCCGTCAGGTCGTCGAAGGCGTTGCGCTCGATCAGGTTGATCTGCGAGTTCATAATCCAGAGCTTTTTGAGGGATTTGAGCCCGTGGAAGGAGCCCGGTTTGATCTCGGGGAAGTTGTTGCCCGACATCTCCAGCTCCTCCAGGCCCACCAAGGGCGTCAGGTTGGGCATGTCCTTAATGTTGCACATCCCCAGGTTGAGGTACTTGAGGTTGTACAAGCCCTCGAAGGCGCCCTCGGAGATGTACTCGAGCTTCTTGAGCTCGCCCAGGTCGAGGCGCATGAGCGAGGGCACGCGGTTGAAGGCGTAGCTGGGGATGCTCTCGATGGGGTTGTTGCGCAGCCACAGCTCCCGCAGCTTGGACAGGTACTCGAAGGCCCCGCTGGGGATCACCGTCAGCCAGTTGTCGAAGAGCTCCAGGGTGTTGAGGCTGGCCAGGCCGTTGAAGGCGCCCACCTCGATCTGCCGGATGGCGTTCCTGCCCAGCTGCAGCACCTCCAGGTGGTGCAGGTGGCGGAAGGTGTCCGCCTGGATCATCTGGATGTTGTTCTCCATGAGGTTGAGATAGCGGGTGTTGGAGGGGATGCCGGGGGGCACCTCGGCCAGGCCGCGGCGGGTGCACACCACCTTGCTGAACTGGTTACTGCAGGAGCACACGGAGGGGCAGCTCTGGGGGCCCGGCGAGGCGGCGGCCGTGGCCAGGAGCCACGCGTGGAGGGTCAGGGAGGCGGCCAGGAGCCCCGGCCAGGTGCGGTGGCGGCGGTGGCGGCGGAGGTGGTGCACAGTTACCTGCCACAAGAGCTTCATGGTGTGGCACGTTCATCATTCACCATCGTCTGGGGATGGCGGCGAGAACAGCAGAACGGGCTCGGGGCCCCCCCCTCTCCCGGCTCCCACGAGCTGGGGGGCCCGGAAAAAAAAAAGACAAAATGGCTCCTGGAGGCTGCGGTGCAGGATGGGGGGGGCCGGCCCGGCTAAGCGGGGGCCCGGCAGCCCCCGACCGCGGCCAAGCCCGCGGCCTCGCACCTCCGCCCGTGGGGCCGGCCCGGGGGGCTCGGCGGGGCCGGCATGGCCGCCCCCCCCAGGCCGCGGGGAAAGGGGGGGGGGGAACGCGGGGAAAGTGGTGAAAAAGGAAATAATTAAAAAAAAGAAGCGGGGATAAAAGGAAGAATTGGGAAAAGGGGAGGGAGCGGAGGAGAGAAAAAGTGAAAAAAAAAAATGAAAGACGGGGAGGGAAATGGGAATGGGAAAAAAAAAAAAAAATTTGGCCAGGAAAGGGAATTGGAAAAGGAGGTAAAAACGGAATAAAAATCTAAAACCAAATCAAATCAAGATAAGAACGGAAATGAGGATAAAAGTTAAAATAAGGCTAAAATCGGATGAAAAACTAAAAATAAAAATTCAAAATATTAAAAAAAAAAACAAAAAACCAAAAAAACCCCAAACAACCCGGACGAAACCTAAAAATAAAACAGGAAAATAAAGATTAAAAATAGGCCGAAATAAATAAATAAATCGCGGGGAGCCCCCCCCGGGAGAGGGAAAAACGCGGTTCGGGGAGCGCCGCTTCCTCCTCCTCTTCCTCCTCCCTCCCTCCCTCCCGCCGCCTCCTCCTCCTCCTCCCCCTCCCCGCAGCCCCGCTCGGGGCTCGTGGAGGGGGGGGGCGCTCCCTGAGCGACCCCTCCTCGGGGCGGAGGGGGGCGGATGGACGGACGGACAGAGGGACGGACGGAGGGAGGGAGGGACGGAAGGGACGGGGACAGCGCGGGGCTCGAGGTGACAGGGAATGGGGGGACCCCGGCTCCGGCCCCCCGCGAGCCCCCCGGCCCTGGGGCTGAGACCCGACACACGCTGTGACACTGATGGGGAGCAGCGACCCCGCAGGGGTGGAGGGGGACACGGGGTGACTGCCGGGGGCAGGGGACAGGGACCACGAGACCCGGAGGTGCTGCTGCTGCTCCCTGGGGCCCGGGCTCTGCACCCCCAGCAGTGCCTTGTCCCCTCCTCCCCCTGGGACTGGGGGGCACGACACCACCTGCACCCCTATAGGCACTCTATGGCCCCCCCTGCTCTTGGTGGCACTGTGGCACTTGGAGCTGTCACCTGAGTGCCACCAGTGGGTGCTGGGGACCTCGGTGGGGCTGGTGGCCCCTCTGGGACACGCTGTCTGGCAGTGCCCTGGGACCCTCCTGTCCTTCCTCACGGGGGTCACTGTCCCCGTGATGGTGGCGCGTCCCCAGGGGGCTGCAGCTGTTCCATTGATGTCCCCCCACAGGAGCTGCAGGACCTGGTGGCCTCCTGTGCCCCACGGGTGGGTCCCACATGTTCCCTGCTCACTGCAGTGGCCACATCTTGTCCTGAGTCCATCGCTGTCCTGCGAGTCCCCTGGCCAGTGACCCAGTGGTGTCACCGGGGGGACAGGGACACTGTTGTCACCCAGAGTGTCACCCTGCAGCACTGGGGAGGTGCCACAGCCGTGCACGGGGTGCTGACCCCAGGGGCCAGCCTGGCACTGGCATGCCTGGGGACAGCAGGTGGCCTGGGGCCGTGTCCCTGCCACACACCGGCCTTGGCAAGTGCGGTGCCATGGACAGTGCCATGGCCGGTTTTGGTGACACCGTTGTGTCTGCCACAGTGCCACCACCCACACTGGTGCCCAATGGCCAGTGGGGTGCTCTCTCCTCTGTGATGCCCTGTCCACTGCGGTGCCAAGGCTGGTGTGACACGGCCGGTGTGGTGACGTGACTGGCACGATGCCATGGCCAGTTTTGGTGCCGTGGCCGGTTTCAGTGCCGTGGCCAGAGTAGTGCACTGTCCAGCATGGTGCCGTCGCCAGTTTTGGTGCCATGGCCAGCGTGGTGCACTGTCCAGCATGGTGCCGTGGCTGGTTTCGGTGCCGTGGCCAGAGCAGTGCACTGTCCAGTGTGGTGCCGTGGCCGGTTTTGGTGTTGTGGCCAGTTTTGGTGCCGTGGCCAGAGCAGTGCAGTGTCCAGTGTGGTGCTGTGGCCGGTTTTGGTGTTGTGGCCAGTTTTGGTGCCCTTGCCAAGCGTGGTGCACTGTCCAGCGTGTGGTGCCGTGGCCAGTTTTGGTGCCGTGGCCAGAGCAGTGCAGTGTCCAGTGTGGTGCCATGGCCAGTTTTGGTGTTGTGGCCAGTTTTGGTGCCGTGGCCAGAGCAGTGCAGTGTCCACTGTGGTGCCGTGGCCGGTTTTGGTGTTGTGGCCAATTTTGGTGCCATTGCCAGCGTGGTGCACTGTCCAGTGTGGTGCTGTGGCCAGTTTTGGTGCCATGGCCAGAGCAGTGCAGTGTCCAGCATGGTGCCGTGGCCGGTTTTGGTGTTGTGGCCAGTTTTTGGTGCCATGGCCAGTGTGGTGCACTGTCCAGCGTGGTGCCATGGCCGGTTTCGGTGCCGTGGCCGGTTTCGGTGCCGTGGCCAGCGTGGTGCAGGGGCCGTGGGACACCTCCAGGCTTTGGGGAGCAGCGGGAGCAGTTGTGGTGGGATGGGTGAGCTCAGGGGCAGGACAGGCTCCGTGTGGCAGCGCTGGCAAAGCCAAACCCGCTGACCACGGCCGGGGGTTGAACCATCGTGGTGTGGCCCATGTGTCACCCTGGGCCCAAGCCTTGCTGTCCCCAGTGCCTTGGCCACACACCTGGCACTGTCCTGTGCCATGTGCTGTCCCCAGGGCCACACTGGCCACAAGTCCAACCCATGCCGGGGTGGGGTGTGATTCCCAGGACGGGATACCCAGGTGGAACACGATATAGGATGTGGCAGGACCCGGTGGCTTTGTGTTCCCCGTGGGTGCGTCCCCCATGTCCCTTGTCCCGCACCTCAGGGGGACACTTTGGGCTGGCACCTTGGGGGTCCCTGGGCCCAGGCTGGGTGCAGGGAGGTGATTGTGGGGGCCCCACCTGGGCGAGCTCAGAGTGCCGGGAGGAGGTGACAGCTGGGGCAGGCTGGGGTGGGGACAGGGACCCACAGCTCACGAGATTCCCGGGATCCCACAGGTTGAGGTGGAGGTGGAGAGCATGGACAAGGCCGGGAATTTCATCGGGTGGCTGCACATCGAGGGCGTGAACCTGTCGGTGGCGCTGGTGGAGCAGGCGCTGTCCCGCGTGCACTTCACGGCCGAGCGCAGCCCCTACTGCAAGGCCCTGCTGGCCGCCCAGGACGCGGCCAAGCAGAGGAAGGAGAAGGTGAGGGGGGTCAGGGGACCCTCCCCAGCAGTGTCACCACCCCAGGGACATGGCCCTGTCCCAAAAGATGGCCCCAGCACACTGGATGTCCCCACCCTGAGAGGTGTGCCCACCAAAGGATGTCCCTGTGGAAGGAGGTGGCCTCAGTCCAGGAGGTGTCTCCATGCTGAGAGACCTTCCCACTCTGAGGGGTGTCCCCATCCCAAGAGATGTCCCTGTGCAAAGGGATGTCCCCACCCCAAAAGCTGACGGCCCCACTGCAGGGAGTGTCACAACCCCAGTTAATGTTCCCAGCCACTGGGTGCCCACACGCCGAGAGGTGATCCCACCACCATGGATGTCCCCATCCCAAGAGATGTTCCACCTCAAGGAATGTCCCATCTCTGGAGATAGATGTCCCCACCCCAAGAGATGATGGTCACAGGCCAAGAGATGTCCCACCCCAGGGATGTCCCACCCCAGGGATGTCCCACCCCAGGGATGTCCCACCCACAATCCCCCAAGCTGAGGCCTGGGCATGTTCCCACTGCCGGGTCCAGCCCCCACCCTCCCATTGCTGTCACCTGGAGCGTGGCCGTGTCCCCGTGTCCCCCCAGGTGTGGTCGCACTACGAGGAGACGCCGGTGGAGGAGGTGGTGCCGGTGCTGGAGGAGAAGGAGCGCACGGCCAACTACAAACCCGTGTTCGTCACCGAGATCACCGACGACCTCCACTTCTACGTGCAGGACGTGGAGACAGGTACGGGGGGGACACCTGGGCACCCCCAGCACCCAGGGGTGCTCCCCAGAGCGGGCGTGGTGGGGCGAGTTGGATGGGATGAGGATCTGTGGGTTTGGTGGGTAACGCCCAAATCTGTGTGCCCAGGGAGATGTGGGGTCACCCCTCCACCCCCCAGGGCCATTTTTGGGACCAGGGCAGGGTCCATGATTGGGATCCAGGTCTGGGGTCCACAGGTTAAGGTCTTGGGGCAGGGTCTGGGGTTGAGATGCAGGTTTAGGATCACTGTTGAAGTCACTGTCGGGACTTGGGGTTCTGTGGGCACACTGAGGAGCGGGGTTGGGGTCCGGTTTGGGATGGGGCTGGGGGTGTATCCTGGATCGGGGCCCCGCAGGAGCCCAGCTGGAGAAGCTGATGGAGAACATGCGCGCCGAGGTGGGCGCCCACCCGCCCGTGGAGGGCTCCTTCGTCCCGCGCCGCGGCGACTTCTGCATCGCCAAGTTTGTCGACGGGGAATGGTGAGGAGGGGACGGCGTGACCCCATGGGCTGGGCCAGGGCAGCCGTGGGGTGTGGGGTGAGGACCAAATCCCCAAAATCCCTCCCTGCAGGTACCGTGCCCGGGTGGAGAAGGTGGAGTCAGGTGGCAAAGTGCACATTTTCTACATTGACTACGGCAACGTGAGTGGCACCGGGGAAACTGGGGGGAGAGCAGCCCTCCATCCATGGATCCATGCATCCATGGATCCGCTCCATCCATGGATCCATCCATCCGTGGATCCATCCATCCCTCCATCATCCATCCATCCATCATCCATCCATCTATCATCCATCCATCCATCCCTCCCTCCATCCCTCCCTCCATCCATCCATCCATCATCCATCCCTCTATCCTCCCTCCATCCATCCCTCCCTCCATCCATCATCCATCCATCTATCATCCATCCATCCATCCCTCCCTCCATCCCTCCCTCCATCCATCCATCCATCATCCATCCCTCTATCCTCCCTCCATCCATCCCTCCCTCCATCCATCATCCATCCATCTATCATCCATCCATCCATCCCTCCCTCCATCCCTCCCTCCATCCATCCATCCATCATCCATCCCTCTATCCTCCCTCCATCCATCCCTCCCTCCATCCATCATCCATCCATCTATCATCCATCCATCCATCCCTCCCTCCATCCCTCCCTCCATCCATCCATCCATCATCCATCCCTCTATCCTCCCTCCATCCATCCCTCCCTCCATCCATCATCCATCCATCTATCATCCATCCATCCATCCCTCCCTCCATCCCTCCCTCCATCCATCCATCCATCATCCATCCCTCTATCCTCCCTCCATCCATCCCTCCCTCCATCCATCATCCATCCATCTATCATCCATCCATCCATCCCTCCCTCCATCCCTCCCTCCATCCCTCCATCCATCCATCATCCATCCATCATCCATCCATCCATGCATCCATCCATCCATCCATCCCTCCATCCCCTTGGTGTCCCTGGTGTCCTCCGCGCTGTCTCGCCCTCACTGATGTCCCCGTGGTGTCCCCACCCGGTGTCCCCGCAGAAGGAGACGCTGCCCCCGAGCCGCCTGGCCCCGCTTCCGCCGGCGTTCTCTCCGCGGGTGCTGCCGCCCCAGGCCACCGAGTACACCTTTGCCTTCATCCAGGTGCCGCAGGACGTGAGTACGGGGGGGCTCCCGCTGTGACCCCACACCTGGGCCCAGCCCTGGGCCCCCATTGTGGCCCCTGACCTCGAAGCTCCACCCCGTGTCCCACCGTGGCCCCCAGACCCACACCCTGAGCCCCAGGTCCCACCTGTGGACCCCAACCCCAAACCTGGTCCCAGTTGGGAACACTGAACCTGGGATCCCAATGTGTCTCCTGACCCCAAACACCAACCCCAGCTCCCCAGTGTGTGCCCTGACCCCAACCCTGACCCCAGTCCTGAACGGATCCCAGGGTAACCCCAGCACCCCCCACACCCCAATCCCAGGGTTACCCCAAACCCACAGTGGGTTGTGGGTGTCCCCAAAACACCCGGGAGCCCCTGGAATCTGAGGGTCGGGGGGGATCCTTGGGGATCTGGGGGGTCCCTGAAGGCCACAGGGGATCTCTGAGGGTTTGGGGGTCCCTGCCAGACGTGGGGGCTCCCTGAGGGTCTGGGGGGGTGCCGGGGCTGCGGGCCGTGCCCCGGGGCCGCTGACGGGCGCGCGGCGCAGGAGGAGGCGCGCGCGGACGCCGTGGACAGCGTGGTGAGGGACATCCAGAACACGCAGTGCCTGCTCAACGTGGAGCACCTGGGCCCCGGCTGCCCCCACGTCACCCTGCAGTTCGCCGACTCCAAGAGCGACGTGGGGCTGGGGCTGGTCAAGGAGGGGCTGGTGATGGTGGAGCCCCGCAAGGAGAGGCAGTTCCAGAAAGTGGTGGGTGCTGGGGGGCACAGCCCCCCAAATCCTGGCCTGTATTTAAAGCTGCAGAGGCCCAATAAACGTAGTGAAGCGTCCTGCTTTTTTGGGGTCCCCTCTGTGCTGGGGTCAGCCCCCCCCATCCCCTCGGACCGGTGCTGGGACCCCGGGCACTCGTGGGTGGGGGGGGTCTCTCTCTGGGGGTGCAGCCCTGGGACCCCCGGCCCTGTCCTGGCTCTGGGGGGTCTGGATGGGGGAGATGGGGGCAGCCCCAAGAACAGCAGCCAAATCCCCCGGAGCCAAGTGGAGCCCCCAAATCTGGACCCCATCCTGGGACCCCACCCTGGGTCCCACCTGCAGGTCCCACCCTTGGGCCCTGACCCTGGGACCCAAAGTGGGACCCCAGACCCAATTGTGGACTCCCCACTCTGGGACCCCAGAACAGCCCCTGACCTTGGACCCCCACCTGGCCCCCAGATTTAGGTCCCAGAGTGGCTGCAGACCCTGAACCTCAGCTCTGGGTCCCACTGCTGGACCCCCACCTGGCCCCCTCCCAGTGCGACCCCTGAACCCCAGACTGACCCCGGGCTCCCCCCGTCACCCGCACCCCAGCGCCAGGGTCACCCCCGCCCCGCGGGGTCCCTGTGGCTGCCCCCCCGCGCTGTCCCCGCTGTCCCCGCGCCGCGGATCGATTCCGGGCTGGGGGGCTGGAGGGGGCAGGGCTAATTGAACCCAAAGCCAATTAACATGGAGCGGCTGGATCGATAATTAACGCCGGGCAACGACCGTAATTAACGGGATGGGGAGGGCGGGGGGGCTGTCCCCTGTCGCTGTCCCCAGTCCCCCACCCTCCTGCCCCAGCCGCGGCTCTGGGGGCGCGGGCGGTCTCTGGTCAGGTCTGGGGGGGTCTGGGGGGCTCTGAGCGGCTTTGTGGAGCCCTGGGCGTTTCTGACGGTCCGTACTGGTCCGTACTGGTCCGTACTGGGCGGGCTCCCTCGGCCCGAGCCGAAAGGGAAATGGCGCCACCTGGCGGGGCCGGCCGGAACGACAAACACGGAACAGCGCGGTCCCAGTACAGCCCATCCCAGTTCAGCCCATCCCAGTTCAGCCCATCCCAGTTCAGCCCATCCCAGTTCAGCCCCACCCCATCTCGGCCCGGTCCCGGCCCCATTGCAGCTGTGACCGTCCCGCCCCTCCCGTCCCTGTTCCTGTCCCCTCGTCCTGCACCCTGTCCCTCTCCCCGTGTCCCGGTGTCCCCATGTCCCAGTATCCCCCTGTCCCGGTGTCCCAGTGTCACCATGTCCCTGTGTCCCCATGTCCCAGTGTCTTGGTGTCACCATGTCCGACTGTCCCAGTGTCCCCACGTCCTGGCGTACCGGTGTCCCGATGTCCCAGTGTCCCCACGTCCCTGAGTCCCTGTGTCCCCATGTCCCGGTGTCTCAGTGTCCCCACTTCCCGGTGTCCCATTGTCCCCATGTCCTTGTGTCCCGGTGTCCCAGTGTCCCCATGTTCCGGTGTCCCACTACCCGCACGTCCCCATGTCCCGGTGTCCCCATGTCCCAGTGTCCCCACTTCCCGGTGTCCCAGTGTCACCATGTCCCTTTGTCCCCATGTCCCTGTGTCCCGGTGTCCCAGTGTCCCCATGTTCCGGTGTCCCACTACCCGCACGTCCCCATGTCCCGGTGTCCCCATGTCCCAGTGTCCCCACTTCCCGGTGTCCCAGTGTCACCATGTCCCTTTGTCCCCATGTCCCTGTGTCCCCATGTCCCAGTATCCTCCTGTCCCGGTGTCCCAGTGTCACCATGTCCCTGTGTCCCGGTGTCCCGGTGTCCCCTTGTCCTGCCTCCCGGTGTCCCCATGTCCCGGTGCCCCTTGTTGCCCGGCGCTGGTGTCCCCTCCTGTCGCTGTCCCCGTGCCCGTCCCCCCGCGGCGGCCCGCCCCGTGTCCCCGCCGTGTCGCTGTCCCCGTGTCCGTGTCCCCGTGGGGTGTCCCCGTGCCCGCCCCCCGTGTCCCGCCGCCCCCCCGCGGGGGTGTCCCCGTGCCGGGAGTGGCCGCTCTATATTTGTCGCTTTGTCCCCAGAATAGCGGCAGACGCGGGCCTCGGGGGTCGTGACCCCCCCGGGGCCCCTCCCTGCCCCCCCCATGTCCCCTTTGTCCCGGGGGGGCACCGGGGGTCCCTCGGCTCCAGCTGCCACCGGGGGGGTCACACCGAGCCCCCCCGGGGGGCGGCACCGCCCTGCCCCCCCAGCGGACCCCCAGGCCGCCCCCAGAGATCTGGAAAGGTCTGTGCCACTCACGGCCACTGTCACCGCCACCGTCCCCTTGCGGTCGCCCACGGCTGCTGGCACCGCTCAAGGGCCCTCTGCGTCCCCCCCCGGCCCCCTCTGAGCCCCTCCCAAGCTCTGGGGGACCCCCGGGTGAGGGGGAGCCACCCCCAAGTCCCCGCCGGCACAGCCACCAAGGGATGTCCCCTCTGTCCCCTTCATCCCCCCGACGGGGCTCCCCCGGGATCGGGGGGTGACAGGGATGTCCCCCCGGGATCGGGGGGTGACAGGGGACTGTGGCCTTGGCCGTGGCCCCCCCGCCCTCCTGCTCTGGCAGGAGTTGGCCCGGGGGGACGCAGGGATGGGGGTGGCAGCCAGCAAAGTGTCACCGTCCCTGTCACCGGCGTGGTGGGGCTGCAGGGTGGGGACAGGGCTGGGAGTGGGGACCTGCCATGGGGACAGGGACATGGGACATGGATGGGGACAGGGACATGGGACATGGATGGGGATGTGGGGTGGGCACAGGGACATGGAGTGGAGACAGTGCCATGGAGATGGGGACACGGGTTGGGGACGGGGACACGGGGTGGGGATGGAGGTGTGGGATGGGGACGGGGACATGGGAGGGACACGGGACACGGGGAGGAGCAGGATCACGGGCTGGGGATGACGTGGGCTGGAGCAGGGACACGCTCACTGCTGGCAGGTGATGGTGGCACCTCAGCCCAGGCCCAGGTGACGTCGGTGAGGAGCCAGCTGCCCGGTGGTGGCCTCGGAGCCGCTTCCTGCTGTCCCTGGGGTGGCACCTCAGGTGGCACCAGCCCTGGAGCTGCCCCGGGGATCCCGGAGTGCCACCAGCGGGGGATCCCTACAGAGACCCTCGGGGACACCCCTGCCACCGGGACCCCGAGCTGGGGACATCGCCTCGGACTGGCCACAGAGCCACGGGCTGCCCACGGGGACAGTGACTGCCCACGGGGCCACGGGGCCACTGCCCGGCCATGGGGACTCGAGCGTGTCCTGTCACCGCCCTGGGACACGGCTCCGACACCCTGGATCGGGCACTGCCACCCCCAGTGCCACCGGGGACATGGGCCACGTCCCTGCAGTGCTGCGGGACAGACAGACCTGGCAGCCACCGTGACACCGAGCACTGGCCCCTGAGGTGACACCGAGCACTGGCCCCATTGGTGACACCAAGAAACAGCTCCTGAGGTGACACCGAGCACTGGCCCCGTTGGTGACAGCGACCACCAGCCCCGTTGGTGACACCGAGCTCCGGCTCCTGCAGTGACACCGAGCATGGCTCCACCGGTGACACCGAGCACTGGCCCCATTGGTGACACCGAGCATGGCTCCTCTGGTGGCCTCCTTGGGGACGGGGACACGGGGTGGGGATGGAGGTGTGGGATGGGGACGGGGACATGGGAGGGACACGGGACACGGGGAGGAGCAGGATCACGGGCTGGGGATGACGTGGGCTGGAGCAGGGACACGCTCACTGCTGGCAGGTGATGGTGGCACCTCAGCCCAGGCCCAGGTGACGTCGGTGAGGAGCCAGCTGCCCGGTGGTGGCCTCGGAGCCGCTTCCTGCTGTCCCTGGGGTGGCACCTCAGGTGGCACCAGCCCTGGAGCTGCCCCGGGGATCCCGGAGTGCCACCAGCGGGGGATCCCTACAGAGACCCTCGGGGACACCCCTGCCACCGGGACCCCGAGCTGGGGACATCGCCTCGGACCGGCCACAGAGCCACGGGCTGCCCACGGGGACAGTGACTGCCCACGGGGCCACGGGGCCACTGCCCGGCCATGGAGCCTCGAGCGTGTCCTGTCACCGCCCTGGGACACGGCTCCGACACCCTGGATCGGGCACTGCCACCCCCAGTGCCACCGGGGACATGGGCCACGTCCCTGCAGTGCTGCGGGACAGACAGACCTGGCAGCCACCGTGACACCGAGCACTGGCCCCTGAGGTGACACCGAGCACTGGCCCCATTGGTGACACCAAGAAACAGCTCCTGAGGTGACACCGAGCACTGGCCCCGTTGGTGACACCAAGAAACAGCTCCTGAGCTGACACCGAGCACTGGCCCCGTTGGTGACAGCGACCACCAGCCCCGTTGGTGACACCGAGCTCCGGCTCCTGCAGTGACACCGAGCATGGCTCCACCGGTGACACCGAGCACTGGCCCCATTGGTGACACCGAGCATGGCTCCTCTGGTGGCCTCCTGCCACCCCCCGGTGCTCTGGTGGCTGCGGGACAGAGCCTGGGGACAGCCAGGGTGTGCTGGTAGGAGTTGGTGGCACTGCTCTGTCCCATGCCACCATCGCTCTGTGCCGTGTCAATGTCACTCTGTGCCATGTCCCCAGTGTCTGTTCTGTGTCCCCATCGCTCTGTGTCACATCAGCATTGCTCTGTGCCGTGTCACCTCACTCTGCGCCGTGTCCCCACGGGTCTGTGCCACATCCATGTCTCCCTGTGCCACATCCGTGTCCCTCTGTGCCACATCCATGTCCGCCTGTGCCACATCCGTGTCCGTCTGTGCCACATCCATGTCCCCCTGTGCCACATCCGTGTCCCTCTGTGCCACATCCCTGTCACTCTGTCCACATCCATGTCCCCTTGTGCCACATCCATGTCCCTTTGTGCCACATCCATGTCCACCTGTGCCACATCCGTGTCACTCTGTCCACATCCATGTCCCCCTGTGCCACATCCGTGTCACTCTGTGCCACATCCATGTCCCTCTGTGCCATGTCACCTCACTCTGTGCCATGTCCCTGTCCCTCTGTGCCACGTCCCTGCCACGCTGTGCCACCCCCATTTCCTCCATGTTGTCCCCTGTCCCCCCGGGCTGTGCCACATCCCCATCACTGGGTGCCGTGTCCCTGTCACTCCGTGCCACATCCCTGTCCCTCTGTCACCCCCCATGCCCAGGGTGCTGTGCCACGTCCCCAGCACTCCGTGGCAGGTCCCTGTCCCTCTGTGCCACCTCTCACGGCTGCCAGTGCCACAGCAGCGCACGCGTGGCAGGGGGCACGTGGCAGGTGACACACGGGGGGTGGCAGGCAGGGGTGGCAGCGTCCCCCGTCCCCCGGCACAGGGGACAGCCTGGGGCTGGCGGGGACCTCGGGGCGCGGGGGCCGTGTGGCACCACAGGCCCCGTCCCGGGGGCTCCGCGCGTCCCCGTCATCGTCCCTCCTTGTCACCGCTCCCCTGTCACCGCGGCGCCACCGCGGGGCCACCGTCCCTGTCCCTCTCGGGTCTTTTTGCGGTCTGGGCTTGCTGTCCCTCCCAGCCAGGAAGCCCTTACCCCAAAAAGCATCCGCGGGGGGCCGAGCAGCGGGACCCAGGTGAGTGGGGGGCCTCGGCCTTTGGGGACAGCGGGGGGACAGCAGAAATGGGGCCACGAGGCCACCACAGCTCCTGGCATGGCCGGGGACCTGCGGGGGGTGACACTGGGGACACCCCAGGGCTGGGGGAGGTGACACCGCGGGGGCACCACAGGTCCCCAGTGCTCCCAGTTTGGGTCCCCATCGCTGCCCAGCGGCGGGGGAGGGGACGAGGGGCTCTCGGTGGCCCTGCCACCCCCTGGTGGCACTCGGTGGTGGGGACGGGTCCCTGGACGGGATGGGGACAGGGATGGGGACATGAGTGACAGTGGGGACAGGGCTCTGGGACGAGGTTTGGGGACACAAGGGGCGCTGGCAGAGAGATGACAGGGACAGGGACACGAGGGATGCCAGGTGGGAGGTGACACGCCGTGACGTCACCCAGGTCACCGTGCTGGCTGCGGGGCGCTCTGCGTGTCCCCAGTGTCCCGGCCCTGCCAGCGCCTGCCGGGCACTGGTGTCACCGGTGTCACCGCCGGCCTTCCCGGAAGGGCCACCACAGTGTTTGCCGAGTGTCACCACCGCTGTGCCACCAACTCCGGCGTCACCAGCGCGGTGACAGCCCCGCCTGGGGACCCCCACGGCGACACAGCTTGGGGACACCCCTCCCTCCCTCTGGGGACACCCCGGGCCGGGTGACAGGGACAGGTGGTGGGGACAGGGACCGCTCTGTCCCCCCAGTGACAGCGTGGGGGTGGCCCCCGGCAGAGCGCCCCTCCCCAGTGTCCCCCTGGCGGTGTCCCCGGCGGTGTCCCCGGCGGGGGGACACGGCTCCGGGGGCTCCCGGGGACACCTGGGACCCTGGAGGACACCGGTGCTGTCCCTGTTCTGTCCCCATCCCGAGCCAGGTGTGTGAGTGCCACGCGTGGGGACACGAGGAGGGGACACGAAGGATGTGGGGACACGGTGGGGGGACACGGGGTGGGGGGACACGGGGGGAGCAAGGGCGGGTACAGAGCGGGGTGATGGGGACACGGAGGGGACACCGGGGGGACGGGGGGGGACAGGGGCGCGTGTGCGCGGTCACGGCGCGCGGGGGACGTGCCACCGTGTCACCGTGTCACCGTGTCACCGTGTCACGGCCACGCGCGGCGCTGCGCTCACCTGGGCACGTATGCGCGGGGGGGGCGGGACTGCGGGGGGCAATGGGCAGCGGGGA